TTGAAAAGCAGTGGGCGTTACATTTTGACAGTGGCCTTCAGATCATATTCACTGAGAGCCCAGGCGCGCCCCAGACCTTATCTTCATTTTATCAGAGTAAAGTCTCTGAACATGAAAGCAGATACCGTTATGCCCATTGTCAAATAAGGCACCTGAAGCCCGGAGCTTCCCCAACGTCCTCTTGCCAGCACTGTGGTCATACTGAGCTGTGGCTCCAGGTCAGCTTGGCTCTGGAATCTCTGCTACAAATGACAACATCTCCCCGCTCTTCTTTTTAAATATTGCACACTCCCCATATGGTCCCTTTGGTTTCAGGGAGTATCACCTCTGAGTCACACTTGGCTAATTTATTGTCGAAAAATGATACTAAAGATCACTGTTGCGTAACAACAACAAGCAACCCCTTGCATGCTGCTTTTACCAACACTGGAGTCACTGGTGCAGGTTTTAGAACCCAACAACGAACAGTTCACAAAGATCTGGTGTGTTGAAAGGCCACCAGCAGGCGCCCCACGCCCCAGGGACGCTGCAGGAGAGGGTGTGTTGTTGCACAATGCTTTTGTAGCTGAGCCCTGCGTGTTGGAGCAGGTGGGCTTCTGAGCTACAGAGAAGTTGCCTGATGCTTCACGTGTGTGCTGCCACCTGTACGGTTGTTTCAAAATGCTGCGTTGTAGCATCTGTATACATAAATTAGAGTAAATTAACATTTCTATTTTGCCTGAGATGTTCACTTTGCGTACTGATGTGATTAGAGGAAAGCACGAGGATTTGGGGAAGGGTTGAGAGATGCATTTTCTTTCAAGATTTATTATGCTCAGTTTGAAGTTCCTTATGATAAAGGCAGGTGGACAGGTAGGTAGAAAGGTAGATGGATAGATAAAGAGGAAGGGAAGAAGGGATACGTGGGATATAAGTTTTAGGGTGGTGGGATTTCAGATGCTTTTTCTGGTTTGTGTCCATGTTCATGTGTTTTTTCTAAATTTTTCTAAAATTAATATGAGTTAGAAGCAGAGAGTGGCTTGAAATAAGCCTGGAAAGACTTAAGTCATGGGCTAAGTCATGGGCTGTGTCAGTCATTTCTGTTTTGCAGTATAAATCTTCAGTTCTCTTCTGGGCACAAGGAGGTGCAGAAGAGAGGCACAGTGCTGGACTTTCTGCCAGTGAGGTGTGATCAGAAGCCACACTTGTCCCTGCCCCTTGGAAGCTTTGGAGACCCCACGTGTGACCCACTGCATTTCCCCGCCAGTGCTGTGGAGGCTGGCAACGGCAGAGGCCCCATCTCCGGGGACTCTGGCTGACCATGGTGGGTGTGACCCACCAACCTGGGCTGGACATGGAGCGTGAGCAGTAGTGGTTCTGGGTTGTCTAATGAGACATGAGCAGTTGGGGGTGTTCCTTGCTGGAGCACATCCTGAGTGATACAGCTCTAGCTAACCATGCTGAGGAATTTGGACCACATCTTGTTGACCATTCCAACCACAAAAGCAATTTTTTTGTGTGTGTTACTTTTGTCGATACAGAGAGTAAACTCTGTCCAAATGAGACACAAACTTTTCATGTTCCAGGTGGCATGTGCTAATTGAAACAACTGTTAATAAAAGTTGTGGGTTTCTTGGTAATAGTGGAGTGAGTTTGTATCTTGAGTCTGATAATGGTTATACACATCAGTACATATGACAAAACGTCACTGAATTATGTACAAGGATATGTGAAGCAAAGGAAAGACAATGAATACATCCTCAAACTGGTGAAACCCTCAAAATGACTGTGGTCCAGTAAATTATATTATATCTATGTTGACTTTCAGGTTTTGATTACGTAGTGTGGATAGGTAAGATGGTGCCATTGCGGGAAGCTGGACCACGAGTATAAGGGCATTTTCTGTACTATTTTGACCTTTTCTTGTAATCCGTTATTATTTTCAGAAAAAGTTAACAACAACAAGAAGTTCATTGAGCTAAACCAAGACAGTGAAGTATCATTAGTCACATATTTGCTATAAGACCCACAGGAAGTCTTACATTGGCACATCAAATCTCTAACAATCAGCAGCCCACTCCTAAAACATGGGTTCTGCTTACAATCTTTCAGCCATGACACTTCCATTTAAAACCTATGCAGTGCCAAACATTTTTGTAAAGCTAACTTTATTAGACAATCCCACCCCCGACACACATAGAGACACAATCATAAGCACAGACACATGTCCTAATTCCAAAGGCTGCGCTATCCTTCCCCTGGACTTGCTGCTTTGCAGTTTCTCTGCATTTCTCAGGGTCTATGACAGAAACAAGAAACCTGATACCCAAGGCAGGAGAATTACCTGAATAATAGTGCATGGCCTTGAATCACTATCCCCAGGAGCCTAGTAACCCACAGCTTGTGGATTAGTCTGTTGAACTACTTGATGGTGTGTGACCCCTTGTTCCCCCTGGATGTGTAAGTTCTGATTTTGTTCTTATTGGTAGTGGCAGCTCTGTGCTTTATTTTGAAGTGAAGGGGGAAGAACCAAAAGACAGCTTTCCAGTTGTGAGTTACATGTAGAGAAAACTGTGTGGGACATTAGGCCATGCTGTCATTTTTGTTGGAATATTGCTTTGGGGTCACCATCTGGGAATGTTCTTCCTGTTTTACAGGGAAATATGTAAATGCATTTTTATAATACGTAGTCTGCATATCCCTCGGGGTTTCCATAGGGGGCTTGGCAGAGTGGAGCAAGCTCTTCACTGCCCCCTGCACAGCACAATGAATGCTGACTTTTTCCTTGTGATGCATTCAAATTTCCATAAGATTCATTGTGTGACAGTGGGTGTCTTGCTCTGAGAGAAGTGAGGCAAGGGCCAGAGGAGGCAGGGTGAGGGTGACAGACACTTTATTTTCCAACTCTGAATGTCAGATCAAGTAGGTGTTTTGAGGCACAAGAATCTTTGTGAGGTATAAATTAGCCATAGACTGCCTTTGTCCTTTAATGAGAATTTTAACCATCAGGTAAATATTGGTACTTGGACTGGATGAATGTGGGATTTTGCTCCTCATCTGGGGGTCCAAACTCTCAAAACACAGTGTGATCTCACGCAAATGTCTTTGAGTGTCTTGGTGGCATAGACCACCTCTCTCCCCAGCTCTTGATTCTCGGCAAACTGGAAACTCTGTTATAAACATTCATGTGTGGGCATCTCCTGTACTTCACGGATCAGGATGCTGCTTCTCTTCTTCCTTCCAAAATCTGCACATCTGAGCATCTTCTCCTATTACCCAAGACTAGAAATTTATATCTTCATTGCTCAGTCTTCTTTTTACCACAGAGATGCTGCTAGGGTTCAGGCGAATCATTTCATACAATGTTTCCCTAAAACTGGGCCCTGTTAGTAGACATAATCAGGATCCTCCAGGATCTAACAGTGACCTGGTCTGATGTGGTCTTCAGGGAGGACCTTTGGACATTGTTTTATGAAGCATGCTCTACTGTAGCAGACCAAGAGTACCATTTTATTGCCAGTTGGCATTATGGCAAGAATTTGGCACAATAGACATCTTGTCTCCTCCTAGTTAAATTTATTAAATATCTTCTATCTTCCAAAGAAGATGTTAGGTGCTCAGCACTTATCCTCACAACTTTAAGCGTAAGTAACTACTATGAATTTTTTTAACAAGTGAGGAAACTGAGGCTAACAAATGTGAAGTGGTTCAAAGTCAATGTGCTTTCCAGCTGCCACTGCCTGATGTTTATTGTTCAAAGCTTAGGGCTTGGGTTGGAGTCCAGGACACATACAGCCAAGATAAACGGGCTGCAGATGCACTCAACATCTCAGCACAGCTCATGTAGTAAGGCAGAGTGGAGAATGTTTTCAGCAGAGCCATTTGCATCCCCCTTGGTAGCATTAGAGGTTTCATGTTATCCTCCTTAGTCTTGCTTAAGTTTCCCAGTCTAGACCACAATTCCCAAGTTAGTCATTTGTTTTATGGAGACTCTTCCTACCTGAGCAGGCAGGTGACCTTGACATCCTTGGCTTTATGTCCTTTGGAGGAACTAGGTCCAAGAAGTGACAGTATTTAACGTCACACCCCAAAGCTCCTCCAAACTTAGAAGCTGAGAGTGGTCCATAAACACAAAGCAAGTCTAAAGGGCATCACTTTGATCTGACCTTCCAGGATTGTGCCGGACTATGGCAGCGGAGCAGGATATTGTCAAATCCTGACCTCCGCAGGCCTGGCTTCCTGCCGAGAACTTGGGCTTAGGGATGGCCTGATTCGGGGTTGGTCCTTGCCCCTTCTTAGCTCTGTGATCTCCTGTAATATACCACCCTGCGGAGTGGGAAGAGGTAGCACCCGTTACTGAGTCTCCGTGAAGAGTAACTGGGAGGTTGTATGCAAACGCCCAGCCCCCTGCGGGCCCTGCGTAGAAAGTGGCCATCATGAGCCCCACGCCATCGGCAAGTGCCCAGCCTGTCCTCAGAGCTGTTTGTGTTATGCAGCTGGAGGCTCTGGAGGATCTCGGCCAGCCAGAGTCCATTGGTGTACACAAGTCTTGCATGCTTTTGTACTTCCTATGAATGAATTTGTTGCTTTTAATTTGTGATACAAGCTTAGTGGAAAGATTTCAGAACCTGGATGGCAGCTCAAGATTAAAATACTGTCCACTGCATCCTGGGCTGCTCCAGGCTTGGTCCTGGTGGCCCTATGTCATTGTAGCTTTTGGGGACTCAGATTGAGGGGAGATAATGTCTGTCTGAAGACCCTTCAGAGCCTCTTCCATGTGCTGCAAGAATCACAGCTCAACCCCCACCCTGCAGATGTAGCAGAGTCCCAGCCTCACATGCTCCTGAACTTGGCAGTAAAAGCCCTGTTCTTCCATTCATTCCAGTGATTTATATTCTCCCTGGGCGTCTAATATTAAACAAGGGAATTCCGACATGTTCCATAACACATTTACTGTAACTTGATACCATGAACTAAACTTGCTGTTATTTATCATTTCTTTTTATTTTCTCTCATTCCAGCACAAAGCCAAGGTAGAAGCAATGACCCTGGACCTTGCTCTGCTCCGTAGCGTGCAGCATTTTGCTGAAGCGTTCAAGGCCAAGAATGTGTGAGTGTTCCAGGGGAGGGTTATAGATCATAATTCCTTGCTTTTGTAATGTCTTTATCAGATGAACACAATTGGGAGAACGCAGGGCTGTGATGTTGTCTTGGCGTCCACACAAGAGGCTCATTTATATTGGCCCTGTTAAGGTGTCCCATATTTTCCTGACTCTAAGTCATCCTCATTATGAGATGTGTCATCAATCTAATAACAGCTTCGCAGATTAAAAGGAAGAAGACACTATTAAGGAACTAGTAAAAGTGGCTAATAAAAGCTAGGCCATGGTAAGATGCATCCTGGTTACAGACATTTTTTTCAGTGCCTCTCAGATATGAGGACGAATATATTTTAATTGGATCAGGAACAAATTGCCTCAGTTATCTAGTACTGCAGGGGCCTGAAAAGCAGAGTAGGAGAGGAGCCAGTGTTTTGCAGGTCCGCAGTGAGTGGATATGGTGCACAGATACGGTTCCACACACACAGACTCAGTGGGTGAGAGATTTACTCCTTTTTTTCCTTTTTTTTCAGTCGTTCAAAATGCCTGAAGGAGAAAGTTTTGGTTAGGCACTTACATATTTTGCCACTGTCACAGGCTAACTTCCTTTTCGTCTGGAGAGAGAGGAAAGGGGAGAAGAAAAGGAAAGGGAGAAGGAGAGGAGGTGGAAGAGGGAAGGAGGGAGGAAGGAGGGAGAAAGACAGAAACTCAGACCCTATGCTACAGAAAGCAACCATGACTACTATCCTGTAATTATAGCACTTTGTTTCCAAGTGTTTATTTTTACTTTGCCTCAAAGGCAAGGCCAGCAATACTGGTATCTCATTTAACATAGTGGTTTATATTTCATTAATAAATAAACTCACTAAATGTTTTTTTCTCAGTGAGCTGGTTGAAACAGGAAGATTCCGTTAATCATAGAGCAGCTGGTGCCAAGGCTGAGATAATTACACGCATAGGTTCAAGGACCTCTGCCATGTGACAAGACTGTCTGTGCTTGCTTAGGCTGTGTGTCAGGGACATGGGTTTTACTGTTCTCCAAGCAGATGAGGGATGAAAGGCAAGGGCATGCACCAGATTATCAAATGGTGCTGGGTGGAGCTGAGCCCTGTCCTGTCTATGCTGATCCCATGTCTCCCTTGCTGTTTTCGATGGTCACAAAGCTTGTTCTGGGGAAGCCAGGGGCCTGGTCCCTGAGCTCTCTGTGCTTCACAGAGTGGGAGTCTTTAGAGATTGGTTCCATCCCCTGAGTGCAGGCCCTGCCCATGCTCAGGACTGCTTGGGAGCAGATTGGGATGAGCCCTGCTCTGTGCCCTTTGCAGCGCTGGCAGTGGCCAGCACTCTTTGAGATACAAGAGCAGGGAGCACGGCAGTTGTTCATTGAATCCTTCGTCATCCATTCATCTACTTGCTCCTTTACTTCACAGCCCTCCCAAGCTCTGCTTCTCCTAGGCTCTGCGAGGAGAGTGGTGGCCGCTGGGAGCCGAGCTAACTTGGAACAAGCCCTAATCTCGCTTGTCAGCAAGCAGCGTTGAGTCCTCAACCCAGTGAGTCTGCAGTGGTCTCGGGGGGAACAGCGCTGACAGTCACCACAGCAGAAGTGGCAGCCCCTTGATTTGGGGCTTATTGGGGCCACAGACGAAGAGTGGTTTGGATGCGTTCTCTCCTTGTACGCATTTTCGAGTTTAATCCTCGAAACAATCCTTTGGTATAGGTGTGATTATCTGCATCTCACAGAAGAGGGAAATGAGGCTAGAAGGGAAGGGTAACTGACTAACCCAAAGGCCCGTGGTGAGTAGAGAGCTGCGATCCATCCCTCTAGGCCTCCGTGGTAGCCACCACACCATCGTGGCCCTCGTGGGACTTTAGGCACTGAGACGCACTGGGTCACTTGGCAGTCGCTGACAGATGCAGGACTTCAGCCCAGGTCAGACTCTGGTCCTCTCCCTGGTGCCACACCGAGCTAGGTGCATTGTGTGCTCACTGCCCCTGGTCAGCTCCCTCCAGTTCTTGTGCTGGGGACCTTGGAAGTGAGCAGCTTTGCTGTAGGAGAACCAACTGTTACACAATAGGACCGCCTTCCACGTCTTCACGGGACCATTAGTTTTTAACCATTAAGTAGTTCGGAAATCATCAAATTTAAGTGCCTTTTGTAATCACCGAGCCCAAACTGTTGGAGGGATCTATGGCCCATTTTGCCATAATCCTAGAGTTTCGCAAGTGACTTTGAAATTTTTCTACTTGTACATTCAGAAACAAGGGCAGTTTTCCTTTCAGAACTCTGCAGTGCTCTGTATTTGTCTCTTGGGAACACGGGATTGTATGTGGCTTAGAGAAATATTGCGGTGGCGAAAATATGCATAAAAAAGCGAGCAATTTTACTTTTGAGATACTGCCAAAGTGAAATCTCTCATGGATAGGCAGATGACAGTTCAGTACTTACGGGTCTTTCGATTCTGAGAACTGTCAGAAGTGAATTTAAGTGCCACTGACTGGGCTGCCAAAAGAACATGTGTAACTGTATTCTTATCATCACCACCCATCTTTAGATATTAAAATTTCCTTGTGTGTAAAACATAATGACAAATGAAAGAAAGGCTGCCAGTTTAGAACCAATTTCTCTTTGTGCTTTTGGGCTGAAGAGAGGAAAAACCCTTAAATATGAATTCCACGTGGACACCTCCATTTCGTGTCCAGTTTCCGAGCCTGCGTGTGAAGGAGGCAGGGCATGAGCCTGCTCTATTTGCTGCGAACGTCTGTCCCTCAGTTCCTGCCCTGGCCCAAGTGTGCTGTCCCGGCCCGGGACAGGCGGTGGGTTGTGTAGGCTCAGGCTGAAAAAGATGGAAACAGATGCCAGACACAAACACTGGCTGTAAACACAGCTCATTGTTCTGAGGGAGCCTCCCTCCATCTGCCTTCTAGCAGGAGATGTGGATTCAGCCTCTTTGGGGAGATCTTTCTCTCTTCTCTGGGCCTGGAGTGTGGAGGAGGAGGCTGTGTTGGAAGGGAGACTGCTGATAACAATTATGTAAGCCGTAGCCGCTCTCCAGCTTCTTATTTCTTCTGTACAAGGCAATGCGCTAAGCACCTAAGGATGTACTCTCCTTGATTTCTAAGTTACCCCAGACCTCAGCCATTATTACCCCTGTTTCACAAATCAAAAAGACAGAGCACAGGCAGACTCTGTCACCTTCCACATTTAGAAAGATGTGGTAGATCCGGAACCGGAACCCAAATCCATTTGAATCCAGGATCTGTAACTCTTTTTGTTATTTCTCATTCTTCGGTCATGTCTTTTGTAGTGTGGGTTTCTAATTTCACGGCTTAAAACAATACATGTTTGTATTTAAAGTAGCCCGCAAGCCAGGCTTGGGGGGCTGAGGCAAGAGGATCACCCTGAGTTTAGGGCCAGCCTGGGCTACATGGTGAGTTTAAGATCAGCCTGCCCTACATGGTGAGATCTTGTCTCAGTGAAAAGGGTTTACATTTCTGCCTTCTCTTGTTCTTTTTTTCCTTCCTTCCTCTTTACCTCCCTTCTTTCTTCCTCTCCCTATTTGCTTACATCAGGATTCAAATCCTGTCAGTGCATTATTATTATTTGGCAGTGCTGGGGATTGGACCCAGGGCTTCCACAGTGAGCTACAGTCCCAGCTCTTTTTTATCTTTTAATGTTAAGCAGGGTCTCACTAAGTCATTAAGTTGCCCAGGCTTGGGCTTGAACTTGAGATCCTCCTGCCTCTGCCTCCCAGAATTCTGGGACCACTGCACCTGCAGCTACACATGTCAGTTCAGTGCACTGTAATCTATAGCCTGTCACTGTACTTTTTAAAAAAATGTGAAGACAACACTGTCATTTAAGGGACCAGGTGGCCCTCTTAGAGGTTTCTTTGATCCATAGTTTGTTGACTGCACCCCTGTTTCAGTATTCAACACGGTCTTTTTCTCCTCGCTTTCTGTAGGAAGGGAGTGAACCCTAGAAATGTGTCCCCTTCCTGCCTAGGTCTCGGCAAGCCCCCTTCAGGACCGATGCTGTGTTGTCCACCTGGTGGAGACTTAGCCCTGGTTGCCAGAGCCCACTTCCTCATGGCCCTATGTGTCCTGCCCCATGCACACCTCTGACGCCTGTCTGCCTGCTTCCCTTTTCATTCATGCATTCTCATTGGTTCTGTTATTCTCCACTTACTGTTCCGGTGGACACCTAGGAGGCTCAGCCTGCTTCTAGCCAGTTCTGCTCAGAGTTTGGGTAACTGTAGTCAAGCCAGTGGGTCATAGGTTACATTATTTGGGCATTTCTGGAAAGCTGTAACCCAAAGTCTATGTTAAGTACCAACCAAATGGGAGAGACGCTATGCTCTACACTGCCTGCTGAGCAGAGGCATCCGTCTGAGTGGAGGAGCTGAGGGTCTTTTTTTCTTTCAGGGCAGTTGTCTGGATAACTTTTTGCAGTAGACTTACAAACTGTAACATGTTGTTTGTGGTGCTTTTGGCTAGTCCACCCTGGTTGTAGCTTTTTACTTTACTGTGAAGTACACATTTTGAACAGGGCCTAGAATAATTCAGCAGCTCCATGAACTAGGTGCTCCAAAAATATATTTTCTTCCTCCAAAAAGTTCTATAATTTGAGTTTCACGGATCTTCAACAAACTGGAAATTGGATTCAATTCTGGAATTACAAAAGTTGGAAATGACACACGACACAGGCCATACATACCTGATGTTAGACAGCCCTTAAAATACTGATCCAAGCTTTTGTTTCCTCCTCCTGGAAATTAATTGAAATTGATAGGAAATTTATTTTAAAATAATTATGCAATTCTGAAGATTTCCAAGGCTTCATTTTTGATCATGGGTTTGGAATTCTTCTCTCAGCTTTCTGTTTCTCAAATAATTTAAAGAAATTAGGTTTCTTTTCACTTAGATGATCATATAGAACAATGTTTTTAAAAGAAGTAAAAATAAAGTCTTTTTCTCCTTTTTAAACATGTGAGGAGAAATATCTTTAACAAAGTTA